AGCGTCGTGCTAATAACGCGAAGGTCGCAGGTTCGAAACCTGCATGGGCCATTATATCCCTTTTTTTTCCTTTTTCACAAATTCTCCACTTTCTTTTTTTTTCTCCTAAATTTTGTGAATGACGTGTCTCTTTTCCTGTGGCGAGACATTTCAAAGCCAGAGATCTCGGCAGCACGCCACGCCACCTACACTCGGTTAGTTATTCCTGAAATTTTTTTTTTTTTGCCCTTCCAATTTTGGACCCATTCGTAATTTGAGTTGACATGTGATGTTGTGTGAAAATTTTTTACTGTAATAAAAAAATTAAATGTGACTATTTTTTAGAGTTTTTTACTGTAACAAAACTCAAATTCTAAACTCGAATCAGCAAAAAAAAGAGCAACTTTTTGTCACTTTACCTTTAAAATTTGTAAATTAATCTGACCACCTTTGAATTTTAAAAAGACAATCACTTTATTTTTTATTTATTTTATTAATAAATTTAATGATGTGATAATTATTAAAAAATAATATAACAAATTATTTACATAAATGTTCTAGTATGTATTATATTTTAAAATGCTCAATGATCTATAAAAATACATCAAAATACTTTTAATCTTTGAAAAATATAATAAAATAATAGTTTTATTGGTATGACTTATTATTAAAAATTAATTAGACATTAAATTCTAATTGAATCATTAAAAAATAATTAAATATTGAAAATATAAAAATGTAAAATGCTTCGCTTTAAAAAATTTAAAAATTAAAATTTTTTTTTCAAAAATTATTATGTATTATTGACTTAATAATTTATATTAAGTATCTATGTTATTAAAAATTAATAACAGTTTTCCGTTCCAGTTTGCCCAAGACTTCTCAAAACTATCTATATATTATAAATAAAGTGAGAGTGTAATGTTCACCGTTTGTCTCCTAGGTATATATTTTCGGCTTTTTTTGTTTTTGTTTTTGCTTTTGTTTTTTGTTCTTTTAGGGATATGCGTGCATATATGTACGAGTGTTCACCGTTTCTCAGCTTTGAGTTGCCTACTTCATTGACGTTTATTTTTAATTGTCGTTTCCATTTGTTGTCATTTTCGGTAGTTTTATTTTATTTTTTTCTTTAGAAAATTTCCTTTCAAATTTAACAAAATACATACAAGAAAAAAGCATTTTAGTGACAATTGTCGTCGCTAAAGAATTTTTTACAACGAAATATCATCGCTAAGAAGTCATCGCTACAATTCTGCTGCTAAAAAATTTTTAGAAACAACAAAAAAGTCATCACAAAAAAGTGTCTTAATTGCCATTGCTAAAAGTCAAGTGTCATTGCTAAAGATTCGTCATCAAAACACGAGTTCGTCATATTATGAATTTTTAGCGACGACTTATATCATCGTTAAAAATATTATATATATATATATAAGTTTTTTAGAAATGATTTTTTTAAAGAAAATATCTATATTATGGTCTTAAAACTTTTTTTTTTCTAATCAAGTAAACAAATCCTAAAACTAAAAACTTATCTCATTAATCTTAAAAAAATAATAAAACTTATAAGACTTTATCATACTTATACATAATCAAAGAAAATCCTAAATAAAACTTTATCACATTCATAATCACCATCACATATAACTATCACACAATAAAAAAAAAAGTACAACTTAAACTTTATCACATCCTAAAGCAAATTTATCATAATCATCATCAAATAAACAACAATAACATCATATAAATAAAAAAAGTACAACTTAAACTAAACATCCTAAATCAAACAATATTATGCTCATAATCATCACCACATATCTCTCAAAAAAGAATGGAAATAATAATCATCACATAGTCAACATCATCATCATATATTCAAAAATAATGAATCAAGTTAGATAATTTGAACAAAAATCCTCAAATTTTCTAACCTCAAATAGAGAGAGAAAAGGAGAGGAAGGGTAGAGGAGAAAGGGACGGCGGCGGCGGCGAGGGCAAGGCCGGCAGCGGCAAGGGTTGGTGCCGATGAAGAGAGGGTGCGGGACTGAGTGGGTAGCTGAGGAGAAGGAGCAAAGAGAAAAAAAAAATAAAGAAGACAAGAGAAATGAAGGGGTTTTTAGTTTGTTCTGTTTTATATACTCAGATTTTTAGCGATGACAATTGTCGGCGTTTGTAACGCCCTCTAGAATTAAACATGTTTAATTATATTAAATTGTGAGTTATTAGTGTGCGTAATTTAATTTTCACAATTAATTAAGCAACTTTAAATTATTTACAATATTTATGATTTCACCCTAAATTTTTTTAAAAATACACTTAAATTTTAATGCATTTTTCTTTTTCTATTTTTCTATTTTTCCTTTTTTTTTCTTTTTCCTTTGTCTTTTTTATTCTTTTCTTCTTTTTCCTTTCCTTCTTTTCCTTCCCCTGGCTGCAACCTCTCTCTCTTTCCTTCTTTCTTTCTTTTTCTTTTCTCTCTCTCTCCTCTGGTTTCACCCACCGCATCTCTCTCTCTCTTTCTTTTTCTTCCACCGTCGGCCACTTCCTTCTTTCTCCAGGCTCTCTCTCCCGCCGGCCGTTTCTCTCTCCGGCCTTCTCTTTTCGACCGTTTCTCTCTCTCTCTCTCTCTCTCTCGGCTTGCTGGCCGAGACCCACAAATAAAAACAAAACAAAAGAAAAACGAGAGAAATGGAGAGAAACGAACTTCAATCACTTTGAGGTAAAGATTTCATGAAAAACCATACTTAAATTTGAGTTATTGATTTGAGAATTTGAAATTTTGATTAGATGTGAATAATTTTGAGTTATGATTTGGATTTGAACAATTGTTGTTAGAATTAATTTAATTTTGGGAGGTTTTTAGTTATTAGACTTATTGAATTGATTGAAAACTGATTTGATGATTTCTAGAGAATTTATTTTGAAATTAAACTTGAATTGCAGGTTTGACATTTTTCCTATTTATGTCGGTATGCTGCTAAAATTTCTTTAAAAACTTGTTTTTAAGCTGAAATTAAATAGGAAACCAAACTTATGAATTGGATTTCAATTTTTAAAGAACCCCCAAATTGAATTATAAAATCGTTTGTGAAACTTAGATTTGAGTCAAGGCACACTAATAGGAAACAATTAAACATAATTGAGCTTCATTCGTTTTAGGAATGAGAAATATATCCTAAGATATTATTTTTGTGATAAAGCTAGTGGAGAAGATCGAGTATTAAAGCTTTAAAGAAAGCGGATGTTAGGGTGACGAGAGGTAGGAAGTTAGCCTCACTTTAAATGGTTTTGGCCAATGAAAATGTTTTACAACAAAACATGTTGAAAGAAAATGATTTTAAAGGAATTAGCATGAATAATGCTATTAAGTTTTCCAATGATTTTAGAAATGAGATTTTAAAGAGTATCATTTCTTAAAATGAAATATTTTAAGAAATGATATAACGCATGGTGGCCATAGAGATCGGGATATGAGAATCGTATCCATGGGGGTAGGTCCCGAAACTTGTACGGTCCACTTCTTGCTCAGTGGTGTTATGGCTCTGCATATTTTCATTATACATATATTTTACTACTACTACGTGAGTAATTTCTTTTTTTAAAAAGGGTGATCAGTTCCGGGTGTATGTCTTCGGACCGTAAGTACCTTTATTTACAATGTTTTATAAAATTATATCCTACTAGGCCTTTTGCTCACTTTTCTTGTTTCAAATGTATTAAACCCCTCCAGGCGACGCGAATAGTAGTGCGGAATAGGTAGTTACTACCGGTGAGGTGAACCCGTCTTCAAGAAGTGAAGATTTGCATTTTCCTTTCCCTTTAACTCAAATATTGCTAGACTGTGGTTGATGTCAACATTTACTTTTATTTATATTATGTGTGCTAAACCTGTGAGAATTCCTGACATGATACCAAGGGTGAGGTTTTGAACTGGTTCGGTTGGGAATTCCACCACTTTTCTTGAAACTGAATTTCTCATAATTAGTGGGGCTTGTTTGGAAATACCTGGAAGTTTTTGATTTGAAATTTAAATTTTTACATTGTTATTTGTTAATCACTTTCTTAAACAAGTTTAAATTTCTAAACAAATCTCCATGTCACTAACCCCTGTTTGGGGGCGTGACAGCGTTAAAAGTCAAGTTGAACTTAAAAATTTGTAAAAAGCGTGTAAAATAACCGGGAATAAAAATGTTTCAAGATTAAAACTTTTAGCGATGACACTTGCCGTCACTACAAGTCAAGTTAAATTTTGAAAATTTTTAAAAAGCGTGAAAAATGACCGCAAACAGACAATTTTCAGGATTAAGACTTTTAGCGACGACATATAAGTCAAGTTGAATTTTGAAAATTTGTAAAAAGCGCTTAAAATGACCGTGAATTAAAAATTTTTAGGGTTAAGACTTTTAGCGAGGACAAGTTAAGTTGAATTTCTTTTTAAAGAAAAAATATGGTAAACCTCACCCGGGAAAATTTTATTTTCCTGGCTAACTTATAGCGACAACATTTTTCATTACTAAAGAGTTTTAGCAAAGACAACAAAAAACTTGTCAACTTCGTCGCTAATTATTATTTAGCGATGACATGTCGTCACAAATTATCTATTTTTATTTGTCGTCTCTAAAATGTGTCATTATAAGGTCCTTTTGTTATAGTGTTAATAGTGGTAAATGATTACCAACTACAAGAGAATTCAGTAGTATTTTTATTTACGTGTCTTCTGTTTCGTAGACATTTTACCTCATCTTGTCTTTTATCTTCTGCAGTGTCGTTTTCAATTTGTTGACGTCTTTTATTTAATTATGACTGACGTTTTCTACTTTGTTTCATGCTTCTTATTATATTGCCATTTCACGTTTTTGTTGTTTATAACTGCAAAGTCCCCATCTTCTTTTATAGAA